TTATTGGTGCATTTAGTCCATTTACATTCAGTGTAATTTTTGATAGGTATGAGTTTAATGCTGTCATTTTGATGTCTTTTTGTGTTTGTTGTTGACACTTTCTTTGTTCCACTTAATTTTCAGTGCTGAGTTGTTTTTCTTTATGTATTTTCTTTTCATCTTTTTCATTGTTGTTGATCTTGTACTTTCTGAGTCTTTTTATTTTTCTTGTTTTTTCTTTTGATGTGTAGGATTATTAGTTTTCTTTGTGTTTACCTTAATATTTACTCCAATTTTTCTAAGTTTAAACCAGTCTTTTATTTCTTTATATCGTCTTATCATCCTCTCCATATGAAAAATCTATGTGTACATTTTTTTGGTCCCTCTTTTTTGTTTTAATGTGGTCATGTTTTACGTATTGACGTCTCTCCCTATTTTCCGTTTTTTTGCTTTGATTTATTTTTGTGGCTTCCCTCTGCCGTATCTGGGTTGGTGTCTAGTTGCTCTGTCCTGTGTTCTAGACTTGGGTTGATCCGATGTTATGGATTTTCTAACCAGAGGACTCCTTTTAATATTTCTTGTAATTTTGGTTTGGTTTTTGCAAATTCCCTAAACTTCTGTTTATCTGGAAATGCCCTAATTTCATCATCATATTTGACAGACAGTTTTGCTGGATATGTACTTCTTGGCTGGGAGTTTTTTTTCCTTCAATGCCTTATATATGTCATCCCATTGCATTCTTGCCTGCGTGGTTTCTGATGAGTAGTCTGAGCTTAATCTTATTGTCTCTCCTTTGTAGATGACTTTTTGTTTATCCCTAGCTGCTCTTAAAATGCTCTCTTTATCTTTGGTTTTGGCCAGGTTGATTATAATATGTCTTGGTGACTTTCTTTTGGGATCTACCTTAGGTGGGTTTTGATGAGCATCTTGGATAGATACCTTCTCATCTTTCAGCATATCGGAAGTTTTCTGCCAACAAATCTTCAACAATTCTCTCTGTATTTTCAGTTATCTCCCCCTGTTGTTGTACTCCAATCACTCGTAGGTTATTCCTCTTGATAGAGTCCCACATAATTGTAGGCTTTCTTCATTTTTTTATAATCCTTTTATGTGACTTTTCTTCAAATAAGTTGGTGTCAAGTGCGTTATTTTCAGTCTCACTAATTCTGACTTCCGTTGCCTCAATTTTGCTCCTATGACTTTCAATTAAGTTGTGTAATTCTGAAATTTTATTGTTAATCTTCTGGATTTCTGATTGCTGTCTCTCTATGGGTTCTTGCAGCCTGTTAAATTTGTCATTATGCTCTTCTCTAATCTT